CAGCCCTGGCTCCTTGGGTGCAGCGGCCAGCCCCCTCCTGGCTCCATCCTCCTGTCAGGCAGTTGCAGAGAGCGATAAGGTCCCCCCTGAGCCTTCTCTTCTCCACACTAAACCCCCCAGGTCCCTCAGCCCTTCCTCGTCACACTTGTGCTCCAGGCCCTGCACCAGCTCCGGTGCCCTTCTCTGGCCCCGCTCCAGCACCTCAATGCCTCTCTTGCAGTGAGGGGCCCAGAACTGACACAGGGTTCTCACTGCAGCCTCAGCAGTGCCCAGTGCAGGGGGACAGTCCCTGCCCTGGCCCTGCTGCCACACTGGTGCTGAGCCAGGCCAGGATGCTGGGGGCTTCTTGGCTGCCTGGGCACAAGCTGCTGATGTTCAGCTCCCGTCAATCAGCACCCCCAGGTCCTTTCCCATGAGCAGTTTCCAGCCACAACTCCCCAAGCCTGGAGCGCTGCAGGGGATTGTTGTGGCCCAGGTGCAGGACGCGGCACTTTGCCTTGTTGAACCTCAGGGAACTGTGGGATGAAGGAATGTCCCTACACCGAGGCTGCAAAACACCCCCCTGAGCATGGTTTAAATAAATCAGGGCTGAAAGTTAGTTCCCACAGATGTCCTAAAGTCCTCCTGCTTCCCACAACCAACTGCAGTTTGTCACGCAGGAGGTGGCTGCTGCAAATAAACACCCCTCTTAAGAAATGGATTCCCTCCTGCTCACAGGCACACCAGCCCCACTGAGTTAGCTCAAAGAAAACAAGTGGTAAAAGAAAGCCAGCCAGGATAATACAATCCATCTGTGTTAAACTGTGCACCAAAGGATTTGGGATGTGGAAGTACACGGACGTCACATACAGAACACGTATGTATGCGTGCCAGGTGGGAAGGCAACTCCAGCCTCTTCCTCCTCCCCGCAAGGCCATGTGCTGATCATCAGAGCATCCTGCCAGAGGATGTGGAGATGTCGTGGATCATGCTCAGCCCTTTGAGGCCAGATGCCTTCCACCTTTCAGTGCTGCTGCTTCCCTTTCAGCGAGAGCGGAAGCTCAGCCTGGATAGGCTGGGAAGCTGGGAGAATGCTGCATGGAATCCCACCAAAGGAACTGGGAGGCCCCTGGCTGGTACCGCAACACGGCGATGTCACGGAGTGCTGGTTTTGGCAAGGACAGACTTCACGCTGTGTTGAGAAGTGTAGGGACAAATGGCCATGATGATCTTTGAGGATCCAAGTGGCAAAAGCTGCTGGAGTCCCAACTCAGAGGCGTGGTGGCCTTGCAGGGCCTTCACAGGGCACCAAGAGACTGAGAGCTTCATCCACGGTAACACCAGCAACGAGCTGAACCTGAGCCCTCACCAGGCAGCCCTGGAGCAAATCCCTCATCCAGGAAAAGGAATAAAGTAACCAGACCCCCCTCACCACTGCTGGAATGAAGCAGCTGGTACATCAAAGCACCTTCTCCCCCAAAACAGGGGTTCCCAAAGGAGTTTAGGCCCCTTCCTACTTCACCAGGCAAAGACCTGAGTACCAGCAAGCAGGACTTGCTCTGGCATGGGGTAAGAGGGGTTAGGAAGGTTTAATCTTAAACTATAGCAAAGACTTATCTACTCCAGCCAGCTGCACTGAGACCACAGCAACCCAGAAAGGCAAACCAGGGGTTTAGCATGGGTTAATTTGGGCAAGTCCCACTTTGGAAAGCACTTGAAGAGGTTGCCACAGCTCATGGTTGCAGTGAATCATGAGGAATCCCCCCCCAGAAGCTATTTAAACCATAGATTAGAGCATTAAATAACTGCTTTAGTGTTAGCTTCTATCTTTGAATTTCCAGTTAGCTTCTCCCCTCACCCTGAACCTCAGCACCACTTCACCAGCCTGATGGCAGGCACTGAGGTTTCACATGCTCCCACTGAAGCCAGGGCCCTGATTTCACCGCGTTTATTGGGGGAGGAAGGGGAAGGATCACTACACGGTAGAAATCATCTGCTACAGGAGACAAAACCAGTTCCCTGGCTTAGAAATTAGGTAGATGCTTTTCTGTGTATGCTTAAGGCAAGAGGCCTATCGGAGATCCATCAGGACTACGTCTCTCTCGACTACTGACACGTGATTGCAGGTCTGGAAGAGAAGAGAAAAAGGGGACAGGAGATTATCCAGATGTTATCCAGCTCAGGTGAGTCTCCTCTACCTCCTGACACGACCTGCACCCAGAGTCCTTCACAGAACAGCCCTCATGGACCAGGAACCAGTGCCCTGCCCAGTGCCACAGAGAGCACAGCAGGACACAAATACACATCTCAAGCCTTTGCCACCTCCTCGACCTGTTTCTGCTCTGCATCACACCAGCACGTGCTAACAAGAGCGAAAGCTTCTGCACCTCAACTCTACCTCCTGACACGACCTGCACCCAGAGTCCTTCACAGAACAGCCCTCATGGACCAGGAACCAGTGCCCTGCCCAGTGCCACAGAGAGCACAGCAGGACACAAATACACATCTCAAGCCTTTGCCACCTCCTCGACCTGTTTCTGCTCTGCATCACGCCAGCACGTGCTAACAAGAGCGAAAGCTTCTGCACCTCAAATCTAGAAGAGACAAGCCCCTGCCAGGCTGACCCTCCTGTCCTGGGTCACAGCCTAGCACACACACAGACACCAACTCAACTCATGGTCCTGCAGCCCCTGCTGCCTCGTGGGGTCACTTACAGTGAAGAGAGGGGGGTCTTTGGAGTGCGGGTGGAATCCTTTCTGCCGGCAGGAAGATATCTCATCCAGGCCATGCTCTGTCAGCTTGAAAAACCCCGTCCTAGAGCAAATAAACACAAGCTCTGTGGGGGTCAAGCCTCTGCAAAGAGAAGCCCCTCTTCTGGGTCTCAAGGAGCACACTTGAGCCTGCTCATCTCAAGTGAGAGTGGAGAGGGATGCTGCAGGTCACCCCTGTGCCCAGGACACTCCTCCGCAGCCCTGCGGCTGCAGCCAGTCTCCTTGCATAGAATCCAGAATCCCCGACTGGTTTGGGTTGGAAAGGACCTTAAAGCTCATCCAGTTCCAACCCCTGCCACGGGCAGGGCCACCTTCCACTAGAGCAGGTTGCTCCAAGCCCCTGTGCCCCAGGGAGGGGCCAGCCACAGCTTCTCTGGGCACCCTGTGCCAGTGCCTCAGCACCCTCACAGGGAAGAGCTTCTGCCTCAGAGCTCATCTCACTCTCCCCTCTGGCAGGTTAAAGCCATTCCCCTTGTCCTGTCCCTACAGGCCCCTGTCCAAAACCCCCTTTCACAGGTGGGCAGCCATTGCCCAGATACAACCCCCCCAAACCAGCTCAGAAGAGCTCTCAACTCACACATGCTCTTCCAGCCTCGTTTCGTGGCTTGACACTTCATTCCCCCACCAGGAATCTGATAGAGGAAGGGCTGTGGTAAAGAGCCCTTCCATACCTCCTTTCAGCACATGCAGAGGGAAAGGCCTTCCCTATCCACATCCATACTTACTCCTGGTATTTTGGAGAACACACGATAGCAATGGACTCTGGCAACATCATCTGGTAGGAGCAGTGTGTGTGCAGGTCGACACTGGAGAGGAAGGCTGTTTGTGTGGGGTGAGTCTGCAACACAGGACAACACAAGAGAGGAAGTTATGGCAGGGTTGGAGAAGAGAAGGCTGTTCCAGAGAAGCAATACAGCTCCTTGGATTGCACAGAGAACACACATACACACTGAAAACGGGTTTGGATTGTCCCAAAAAATCTCGTCTTTCTCCATTCAGAGTAAGTAGAGGAGGAATCCTACATCTCTGGCCATATCCCACAGAAAGTCACACTTTGAGGCACAACACTGCCAAAGCTCTTGAAGATACCACTTCCACCAAGATGGCCAAGGGTTGTACAGGCAACCACCACCTCACAGATGGATTTCACAGCCTGAAGGTCTGTCTTAGGGGGTTGTTTTTGTTGCCAAGACCAGCAGAAAGGTCCAAGGAACTCCTGAGGGTCCCTGAATGTCGCAGGGCTGTCACTGAAGAGTTAACCCCAAAAGCAGCCACCCTGCAAGTACCAGGCACTCTGCAGCAGGCATTTATTTGTCAGAGCCCTCGAGGCAGCTGCTGCTTTCGAGAGATTACTCAGCAGCACCAAACATTTTGCTTGGCACGGATCCGACTGCCAAAGGCTCCATAGGGACAGGGAGCAGGGCAGTCCTGGAGCCAGCAAAGGAATCTGGAGCTGGCACAGCCCAGGACAGAGCAGCACAAAGCTCCCTGTGAAAGGCAGCACTACTACAGGGATGCAGCACAGGAGAGGCCCTGTGCTGAGAGCAGGAGCTTCGGATGCCCCAGCAGTCAGGGATCCCACTGGAATCAGCTTTTAGGTGGATGAAACATGAGCTTCAGGTATCCCACTTCAAAGGGCTTGATGCTTTAGGAAGGGACCCAAAACATAGGCCTGGGTTTCTCCAGCAGGGTGAGCAGTGACTGGGACGGCACCAGAGGGAGAAATTCAACCAGAGGATGCTGCCTGCTCCATGCCCTCTCCAGACCAAGCTGTTGGAGCAAGTGCAGAAGCTCTTCCCTGTGAGGGTGCTGAGGCCCTGGCACAGGGTGCCCAGAGAAGCTGTGGCTGCCCCATCCCTGACAGTGTTCAAGGCCAGGTTGGACAGAGCCTTGGGTGACATGGTCTAGTGGGAGGTGTCCCTGCCCGTGACAGGGGGTTGGAACTGGATGATCTTAAGGTCCTTTCCAACCCAAACTATTCCATGATTCTATGATCTCCTCCAGTAAACTCTCCTTTCCAGCCAGTTGGGAAGTGAAACAGGAACCAGAGACTCACATGGATCCAGCCCAGTGTAACAAGGCTGTGTTGATCCTGGATCATGAAGAGCTCCTCCTCATTCTCTGTGTTGCAGTAATCAGGGCCCCCGTGCTGCTTGGGAACGATGACGTGGGTTATGGTGAACTCGTTCCTCATCTGCAAGGCAGCACAGGGAGGCTGTTACCCACCACACACCCCACGCAGGAAACAAAGGTAACTTCCTGAGCTTTGGAACATGGTACTTCTGCACTCAGCACTCAGGGGCCTGGCCAGGGGAACAGCAGGTCTGGAAACAAGCCCATGGATGCATCCACCATCCATTTATGGGTCAGAGAAATGGTAACTGGAAGTAACTGACACAGGAGTCACAGGATTTTCTGAGTCTGAGCATGACACGTGGCTTTCTATTTCATTTCCCCTGCTGTGCAGAGCACCCACAAGAGCTCAGAGAAGTCCTGGACACCCACAGAATGAATCTCTCCACTCACCAGGAGATGATGCCTCATAATTAAACAATCATCAAGAGTCTGGAAGCAGCTGCATTGCAGAAAGTTGTTACATCAAACAAATTCATCTCCTTGCAAGCAAAGCAGCCCCAGGCGACTCGGGGAGACAGGCTAGAGCTGCCAATAGAAACTTGGGGCACACAAACACTCTCTGGGGGAGAACTAACTGTCTCCAGATAGTGTTTGCACAGCCTTGTCTTGGTGAGGGTCCTAGTTCACAGCTGGGACACCTCAGTCCTGCTGGTACCAAAAGGACAAGGCACCAGAGCTGCCTGTCACTGGCAACATGGGAGTGCTTGAGGCAGGTATGGCAGGAGAGGAAACTGAATACCCATGGGGAGTTGGCAGCTGGCACCTCACTCGGTGTGAGGAAATCCTAACGGAAAAGGGAGGAAAAGGAGAGGGAGATCATCCTCTGGCATGACCAGCAGGTCACAGGAGCTCTGCCCCTCTGCTCTGCTCTCATGAGACCCCACCATGTGCAAGTTCTGGTGTTCCCAACATCAGAAGGACATGGAGCTGTTGGAGCAAGCTCAGAGGAGGCCACGAGGATGATCAGGGGCTGGAGCAGCTCCCGTATGGAGACAGGCTGAGAACATTGGGGCTGTTCAGCTGGAGAAGAGAAGCTGCTGGAGACCTCAGAGCAGCTTCCAGTGTCTGAAGGGGGCTACAAGGATGCTGGAGAGGAACCTTCATCAGGGACTGCAGTGACAGGACAAGGGGTGATGGGTTCAGTCTGAAACAGGGGAAGTTCAGGTTGGAGATAAGGCAGAAGCTCTTCCCTGTGAGGGTGCTGAGGCGCTGGCACAGGGTGCCCAGAGCAGCTGTGGCTGCCCCATCCCTGGCAGGGTTCAAGGCCAGGTTGGACACATGGGCTTGGGGCAACCTGCTTTAGTGGAAGGTGTCCCTGCCCTTCTTGCCGGTGGCAGGGGTCTGGAACTAGAATCATAGAATGGTTTGGGTTAGAAAGGATCTTAAGAGCATCCAGTTCCAACCAACTAGATGATCATCCCCCAAGTAGGTATCTTTCATCTTTTCCAACCCAAACCATTCTAGGATTCTATGCCTCATGCTCACATGAAAGCTCAGTCACCAGATAAACTGCATTACAGCCTCCTGTGGCAAGAATCAGGGTCCTCCAGCCATTTTCAAAGCTATAACACCTTGACAAAAGGTCCCTGTGCCACTTGAAGGGTCTTAATCAGGATTATCACCTTACCAGCTTACCACAGAGGATCCCACACGTCTCCACACCCCGGATCGTGTTGGCATCAGCCAGCTGGAGGAATTTCTGACAGAGCTCCCTAGGGACAATGACCTGGCGAAGGATACTTATACCTGCACCTGTGGGGAGAATGAGAGCACAGAGACAATCAGGGACACTGGAAAAAATGAGCCTTTAGGTCAGCACCTGAAGGGATTAGGCTGAAAAAAATAATCCTAAAAACATCAGCTGCTCTAATGGTGACCCTCACAATGGCAGTCACAGGCACTGAAGTTGCTCAGATGTTTCACAAAGGACAGTCACTACCTCTTTCAAAACAGGGTAAAGGAACATGGATAGAAAAACACCTTTAGCAATGTGTTAAACCCCCAGTATTTTGTTAATAAAAACGACCCCCTCCTCCCCTTACTGAATGTCATTTAAAGTAAGATGTGTCACTGGTCAAGAACTAGTCATTGACAAGTGTCTGAATCAGTATTTTGGAGCCATATTTAGCCAAAGAGGAGGATTCAGTCCGCCTAAGCCAAGAACTCAACCCCAATCTCCAACATTCGGATCTAGGAAAGCCAGACAGGCTGTAGCCTCTAGATCAGCAGAGAGATTGGGCTGGAGAAGCAAGGTGGGGGCAATTCCCAAGAGGAAACAGTTCTCCTCAGCCCTACAAACCTTTACAGGACAACAGGGACAACATCCAGTGACTTGGAAAGCCAAACCCCCAGATGGGATGGAGTCACCATCAGGTACTTCCAAGAGCCTCCCAACAAATCAGCTCCTTGGCTGCCTGGCTCAGCCCAGCAAGGGAGAAGGGTGCACTGAGGGGTACTAACTGTTTTCTGTGCTTCCCAAAGCACTGGGTTTCAAAGATCTGTCCACAACAGGAGGTTTGGATGAGACAGTCCCCGCTGATGGACTTGCAGGATGACCTGGAGACATGGGAACCTTTGGGATTAAATCAGTTGGCGGCTTTTCCACGCCAGGAATGAGGGGCCCATCCAGAGCCACGGGACTCGGTTCTGGCTGTCCGAATTCCTGCACTATCCTCAGCCGCTCCTTCTCCAGCTCCTGTCGTCGGATCATCTCCTCAAAGACATGGAACTGCTCTTGCTCTGCCTGCTGCTGCTTCATCAGGGCTACCCGATTTCTCTCCTCTTCCAGCTGCTGCTGCAAAGCCAAGTTGTGTGCAAATGCCTCTTCCTCCTCTTTCTGCAAGGAGAAACACAGCGAGGGCAACACAACCTCATGTTGTGACAAGGAGGGAAAACCCCCAACCAACCAACAGCCCCAGCTCACACTGCCTCCAAGATGCACAATGAAGAGGGGTGCAAAGGGACCTACATCAGAGTCACTCACACATCAGAAGCAGAGACATGATCACAACAACCCTGTGCTGCAGTGATGAGGTTGGACCCTGCAGGCTGGGGTTACCCAGACATCACATTCCAGAACACCCAGGGAGCCCTGGAGACCTGCTGTGCTCCAAACCCCTTTGTGGCTGAGGGTCTTCTGGGGAGCACAGGCCTCCAGTCTCCTGTCACTCACCTTCTGCTCCTTGTACTTAGCATAGTCCTTGGCGTACCTCTTTAATAGCTCCTTCTTGAGCTCTTCAGCTCGGGGGAAGGCTACTTCTTTCAGTTTCTGAAGGGAGGAAACACAGTCAGGAGAGGGTGATAGCCCCAAGGCAAGGAAAACAGGACCTGAAGAGATGCAACAATCAATGGACAGGCAGCACCCAGAGGTTATAAACCATCCACGAGGCAGGAAGGGCTGAGTAGCTCCACCACCATGTGTGGACAGGCTTGCAGACAGGTTGTAGCTGGGTGACACAAACAGCAACGCCAACAATGCTGAGCAAGAGCTTAGGCAGCAATGCCCTTGGCTCTTCTGGTCAGTGTTGAGGAGAGCAGCAGTAGCTTCTTGTGTCCAAGAATCCTATGGCAGATCCCTTGAGGACCACCACGCTGAGCATCCAGCCACCATGGATGGAAAAGCCACGTGGTCTTTAAGATGCAAGGAGTTTAATAGGAATGAAAAGACATCCCAGTGCTCAGCAGAAAGTAAACGGACAACCACAGCCAGCCCAGAATCATGGAATGGTTTGGGTTGGAAAGGACCTTAAGATCATCCAGTTCCAACCCCCTCAGGCTCTCAGGAAAGAACTTCTGCCTTATCTCCAGCCTGAACTTCCCCTGTTTCAGTTTGAACCCATCACCCCTTGTCCTATCCCTGCCATCCCTGATGAAGAGTCCCTCTCCAGCATCCTTGTAGGCCCCATTTGGATATTGCTTCCCAGTGTTTGTGTGGCTCACTCACCCCAGAGCCATGAAAACCCCATAGGGTTGACAACCCCAAAGGATTCTCAAAAGCAGCATTAAAGTCTTGGCAATGTTACTACTCACTTTCACTGTCTCCCTCTTCTCGGGTATGACAGCAGTTTTGTAATCACGGTGCTGTGGCAGCTTCTCAATGAAGAGCCTGTAAAAACAGGAGAGAAACTGCATCTCAGAGCAGAAAGGGACAAACACAAGATACTAAGTGGCATTTTGGGGTCATGGATCATTCCCCTCCAGCACTGTCCCCTTGCTCTGCCACATCTCTGGGCCCTGTGCTCCCCACAATCAGGACAGTCACCTCCTTTCTGCAGGAAACCATCACATAACAGCCTCCTGAGCTCTTCATGCACACATATCTCATCCAGGCCCAGGGGAGCATCTCACACCTGGACTTTGGAGGTGATCCTCAGGGATAAATGCATTTGTTTTGGACAGAAACATTAATAAGCTGGTCTAAACCACCAAGGACTCTGGCAGAGATTCAGGAAGGTCCTTGGGCACCTGCCTGCACCTCTGTGAGCATCCAAGGGGATCACACACAAGCTCAAGGATTCAGCTGACTCAGTGCTCACATGGTCCTTCTGTACAAACGAACAGTTCGTGCCAGAGATGGGGAAATCAGCTCACACCTTGAAAAGAGAAAACTTGCAGGAAAGCTAAAAGCAAGTTCACAACATCCACAGCTTCTGCATCAGGAGCCTTTTGGCTCTGTGTCCTCAACCACTCCTGAAGGGCAGGGCAGGGCAGGGTTTCAGGCAGCAGAGCTGCTTCTGTGCAGACTTCATAGAACCATAGACTGGGTTGGAAGGATCCTCAAAGCTCATCCAGTTCCCCCCCCGCAACTATGAACAGGTTAATCTTCAGTGTCACTGCAAATGGGGTAACCATTTTCCCCTTCCAGGGAGCTCTGCAGTGAAGATGGAAGAGTCCTGCAAGCACTGGACCAAGGAAAGCCGCCTGCAAACATGGGACAATTCACTCTGGTTCATCTCAGTGAGGCTCCCCAGGCTTGAGGTATCCCTCAGTTATCTCTGTTAGCAAGTTCCCAGCTGTGCACAAGCTGACAGCGTGCTCAGGGTGAGCTTAGCTGAGTCCTTGTCTCCTGCTAGTGGAGCTGTGCTTGCTCTGAGTGTCCACAGAAGCCTGTGGCCATAAGGCAGAATCCCTGCCCTCCTCTGTGGCTCTCTGTTACACCACTTCAGCAGCTGAAGCAGGATGCTCTCCAGATCCTTTAGGCACAAGGAATAAGGGTAGTGAGGATGAGACTGTACCCCAGGGAGCAGCACAAACCAACCAAGCAGGAAGAACTCAGAGGGGACAGAGTGAGAACACTCCTCATGCTGAGAGGCCTGTGTGTGTGCAGTAAATAAACCCAGCTGCTTCAAACCTCAGTCCTCTGGGAAAAAGGAGGACTTCTGCAACCCCAAATGCTCCTGGTTGCCACGGAGAGGGTGAGGATGCTCTTGCCAGAGGCCACAGGATCAGCACAACCACATCACAGCCTGGAGCCACAGAGAAGCTCTCGCTCCATCCGAAACACACAGCGAGGAGGTCCCTGCTCCCAGCTAGTGGTTGTTCATGAAGTAGGTCACTGTGTTGAGGAGACAAAACAAGGCAGTGCTCATTGCCAGCAGCTAGCCGATTAAAATGGAAGGGATTAATTAAAAAGGATTAAGAGCAGATGCTGGCCTGGAGAGGATGGAAAAACCAGTGGAGGCAGCTGGGGTTTCACAAGTCAGGAAGGGGGAAAAGTGGGCAGCAGGATGAGAGGGGACTCAGGCTGCCAGAGGGAATCTCTGGGGCAAGACCAGGCAGTGGCAGGCTGGGGATGGAGGCAGAGGAAGGGCAGGAACTGTTCATGTTTCCTATTGACACCCCAGCTGAGGCTTGGCAACACTGGAACCAGGAGTTTTGGGCTTGTTCAAACCTCCTCCTGCTCCCGAGTCCACCCTGAGCAGCAGCTGTTTGGCACCGAGCAGCCACATCATGGGCTATTTATACTCAGTGCTGTGGCACACGCGCCAAACCACGTCCCTCGAGTGCCTTGAGACACCCCACACAAACCCCCAGCTCCAGCCCTGGCAGCTCAGTCACGCAGCAAAACAGGAGCCCAAACACCACAGAAAATGCATGTCTGCCTTTTTTTCTTTCTTATTTGGCTCTAGCAAAACCAAACCTGGTGTGCCTGAGGGGGATGTACGGAAAACATCCACTCGGATCAATAAAGAAGCTGTTCAAGACAAGAAAGCAGATGTCTTACAAGACACGTGTTAAAAGTCCAGTCTGGTTAGTCTTAAGAGATAGAACCATGCAATGGTTTGTGTTGGAAGGGAGCTTAAAGCTCATCCAGCTCCAGCCTCCTGCCACGGGCAGGGACACCTTCCCCTAGAGCAGGTTGCTCCAAGCCCCTGTGTCCAACCCGGCCTTGAACACTGCCAGGGATGGGGCAGCCACAGCTGCTCTGGGCACCCTGTGCCAGCACCTCAGCACCCTCACAGGGAAGAGCTTCTGCCTTATCTCCAACCTGAACTTCCCCTGTTTCAGACTGAACCCATCACCCCTTGTCCTGTCACTGCAGTCCCTGATGAAGGTTCCTCTCCAGCATCCTTGTAGCCCCCTTCAGACACTGGAAGCTGCTCTGAGGTCTCCAGTGAGGATCCATCTGGAGATTACTCCATGTCTAGACAAAACTGTCCTAAAAACAATGGTTCTCCAGGTGCTGCAACACAGATTGTGTAATTCAGGCCCAGGGGAGAGCTGTATAGGGAAATAAAGAGAGATCCAGCTTCCTAATGCCACACAGACCACGATGCACTCACCCCCACCAAACACACCAAGCCAAGAGGCTCTCATGTACTTCCCAGTCCTCCCCTTCTCAAAGGCACAGCCTGATGTGGGAAGAGCCTGCATGAGGTCAGACACTGCAGCAGGCAGCTGGGCTCTGAGGAAGGACAACACAGCACTGACTGCACACGTGGGTGAAGCCCTGGGGAAGGAATTCAGGTCTCATTTCCAGAAAGGGCAGAGCAGAGCAAGTCTCGTGAGAGACTCCAACTACCAGCGCCCCACTGTTGCCTTCTGGATCACTCCCCTTGGAGAAGGACACCCCTGCATCACCTGAGCTACAGCTTCACATCTTCATTTAAAGAAATGAGCTGGTGACATTAAGTTCTTATCTTTGGAGAAGCCAGGGGAGCATCCTCACTGGAGATATCACACCAAGGGAAGGTTTTTCCCCCTTCCTGGCAGACCAGCAGCCAGGCAAACATCAATGCCATGAACATTTGAAAGATGCTGGAGAGAAGAAGACACCAGCACCTACCAGTGTTATAATGAACCAGAGAAGGTGCTTTTAGTTCATTTGTTTAGTTAAAAGAGTTTCTTCTTTGGCCACAGCTACGTAACCAGCCTGGAAACCTTCCCAAGGGCTTTACACTCCCCAGCTCCCTGTGCAGCCTCCCTGTGATGCCCATAAAAGCTCAGGAAGTGCAAGGCAGGAAGAAAAGCTAAGCAGAGAAAAATGCATTGGATTTAAGGAGCAGGAATCCTGCCCACAGGGGTAGGGGGAGAGAAAAGCCACATTCTGGATAAATGGGCAGCGTGGGCACAGCAGAGACCACACCAGAGCGTGCTGAGCGGAAGCAGGAGGACAGGCTTTTGGCCAACAAACCTACAGGAACAGGGCACTCTGTGCCATTGGGGTATTTTCTGAGGATCCCAGTTTCCAGCCTTTTAGACACCAAGAGGCACAACCTACAGAGGCACATTTGTTCTGCTCATACTCCTGCTGCCCAGACACGATCCAGACCTGACACCACGTCACCACAGCGCACGCTCTGGCTTGGCAGGCACAGCAGTGGGGTTTCAGACCCAAGATGGCTCGTTTCTGGGCAGCTTTGGAGATGACAGCAAGAATATGCAGCTCTGCACTTGTCCACATGGAATGTAGACCCTACAGCTGGCGACCTGACAGCTGAAACACCAAGCAGGGTGTTGGCTGGGTTTATATATGATCTGGGGCTTTCTAGAAGGGTGCTCAGTAGCCAAGAAACTCATCAGTTGATTGGGATGAAGTTCTTTGGGCCCAGAACTCTTTCTTACATCCCTCCTGAGAAGGGTTTGGGGGAACATGTGGATGGTTGAGGGGGGATTATATTCTGAGATGTAAAACTAAATCTGCTCCTGGTCCCTGCACCCGAAGGAGGAACTCCCAGCCTGTTGTGTGAGGCTGTAGTAATGCAAGTGTAAAAGCAGGTTTCTCCTCTGAAGCTGGTTCATTAGAGAAACCACCAACTAGCCTCTATCTTTTCCAGGTAGATACCCGATACAGAGATCCTTGATCATGGATCCTTGCCAATCCATGTGATGTCAGGGCCAACCTAGAGACAATCAAGGCCAATCTAGCCATTCTAGAGTGATAAAACCAGCAGGAAGCATTGACAAAACCTCCCTCCTGCTGACAGGAGTATTCTCTAGCAGAGGGACAGAGGAACACAAGATGAGCCTGGTTTCAAAAGGAACTTTTACAAACAACCTGCAAAGAGCTGAGTGGTGTTTGTGGGTTTCTGCCTCGCTCCTTTACACCACCACTTGGTCAGTTGAACCAGCTGTATCCTCGCCTCTGTGGGATTCCAAAGGAGCAGAGCTCTGGATAGAACCCAGTTCTTCCAGCTCAGCGAGACCTCACGGTGTTCAGGCACACTCTAAATACTCAACACCAACCCCACAACCCCTTGTGTGGACCACAGGTTTGTTGCTCTCACGTGATGTACTTGTTGTACAGGATAAAGGCATGCTCCATGTTGCCCTCCTCAGAGTAAATGGTTGCCATGCGGAGGATCTCCACCCCAGAGCGGTAGTAGCGTCGTGGCGGGATGTCCTCATTCACTTCCACAGCACTTCCCACCTGGATCAGGCGTCGTACTCGCTCCTCTGGTGGGAGGCTGGTGTCGGCGTGGTCAGGCATAACCCCACACATCAAAGCTGTGGTGGGAGGGAAGTCAAACACGTCAGACCCAGCGTCAAACAGGTAACTCACCCAGTTTATGGAATCACAGAATGGGTTGGGTGGAAAGGACCTTCAGATCAACGAGTTCCAACCCATTCCATGGGCAGGGACACCTCACACTAGACCATGTCACCCAAGGCTCTGTCCAACTTGGCCTTCCTCTGTAGAAATCACCCCCCATCAGCAGAAGATCATTTAATTCACAGGCCAAGCAAGGTCCTGAGGAAGAAAACTGAGACAGGCCCAGCTCTTTTTGGGCACAGTGCTTGGATATTTACCTTTACAACCTGAAAAGCAGCCACAAATTTAAGATCAGGGAATGGTAATGATCACATGGGTTTGACAAACCAAATCCTACCCAAAGCAGCACTTCCTTCCCACTTGTCTCTCTGCACAACAGAACTAGGTCTGGTCACTGGTCTGGGGGGAGATGGTCAAAGCTTTTTATTCAGGCTCAAGCAGAAACAGCTTTACAACACTGCAGTGTTCACTGTTTCGCTTACACAGCAGCAAGACAAGGAGGGAGCTGAAGCCACTGTTGCTCAGCAGATCTGCCCTCACCCAACCAGCTCAAGCCCAAATTGCTCCTGCCTGGGCACAGTCACAGTCCCTCTCTGCTCCGTGCTGCAGGAGGCACACCCGACACCCCAGGAATGCACCTCGACCTGATCCATGTGCCTGCCTCTGACAAAGCCTCCTCACCCATGGCACAAGTCGATAAACTCACAGCAGAGAAAGCATCAAGACTGTCTGAGAGGCAACAAGACCACAAACACCCAGCAATGCTCTTCCCCCTCCACTAAAAGCAGTGGAAAAACCACCCTGAGCAGCTTAAGGGTTAAACTCCCTGTGAAACCACAGGGCTGAATCCACAGTACCTGACAAGCCCTCCAGCAATTCAGCTGCCACACACAGCATGTAATTGAGTCACAGAATAGACTGATTTGGGTTGAAGGGAGCTTAAAGCTCATCCAGTTCCAGCTCCCTGCCCACAGGCAGGGACACCCTCCACCACAACAAGGTG